TGATGGTGGAAAAATACACCGAAACGTATTTTAATTGATAAATAGAGACAATAAATGACTGAAACCCACGAATAAATTTTGATTTGGAATTTAAACATAATGTTTTCACGATAAATATGGTACCTTTGAGCAAGACTCTCTAGGCAGGAGAGTCTCAAAGATGCTCCTGTTCCTGTTGTGCGCGTCAATATCCACGTAGACGACGCTCCAGGAGGCCCCCTTTTCCCCAAACAAATTGCAGCCGTTTATCGCTTCAAGGGCCGCCTTGGCCATACCTGAAACCCCGCTGATTGAAGATGGAGCTAACCATCAGCTAACTTTTCTTCACCTATGGAGCTGGCATGAATTTCGGGGTTTCCGTCGTTGTACTTCGAGCCCCTTTCCCACATGCCAAAGTCCGGCGTTCTATAGGCTCTCTCCACGTAGTAGACGAGGTTTTGAACGAAAGCCACCTCAGCCTGTGTATAGACGATTTGAAGCCCCGAGGAAAGCATCTGCACCAAAAACAGCAAGTATATGGAAATGACATCGATCTGAAGATGATTGTATTCATCATCTGAGTAGACCTGGTGCCCAGTGGTCAGGTGGAACTTCACATGAAGGGCATGAGCAGCGCATTGGTTTTTCTTGAACAATTCCACCCGGGCCGCCTGCTTCATCCAGCATTCTGTTAAAGGACGCATGGTTTCAGTTCAATTTCAACCGTTCCTCAGCACCCTACCTAAGATGCCTCTCATGCACTTTACTGTGGACTGTCCCAGCTCATAGGACTTGCCCCTATCGTCGTCTATTCGCCTATAAGCCTGATACAGGCCCCAAATGGCCGCAGCACAGTACACGCTCTCCCGCACGCTTCCGATTTCCGTATCAGTCGATAGCACGGGAAATAGGCCCGTGATGGGGCTCTGGAAGTGCAGCAATTGCCTTTTGACTGAAACGCAACAAAACGCTGATAAATCCGCATTTTTCCTGCAGGGGGCCGAAGTACCGATTCCATAGTAGACGTCCAATTGTCGCACCGTTTCCTCGTAATTCACAGTCTTGATAAACTGATCGAAATTGATATCGTCTAGCACAGTACTTTGAGCGCCCATTCTGAAACGGCCCCTAATTAATCAGTGCGGACTTTACCAGCGTCTGAGAGGGTTTACTTGGCTTTCCCCATAGCGCAAGAAGAGGCAGGCCTTTGATAAGTCGCTTAATTACTATTAATAGTTTTTGGTTTTTGGGAAAGTTTCAAAGTCGCGTCAAGGACTTTTTGGTTAGTTTCAACAGGTTTGAAGGTTGTTTTGGTTAGTTTGGGTTAGTTTCTGGTATCAGTGACGTCCACTGAAGCCAATCAAGGTGCTAGAGGCAAATGTTTTGGATAACGCTTTGAAAAAATCTGCACGGAGCCCTAAACGAACAATCTTGTGTCCGATCAGGGCGGATGGTTTATTAAAAATTCAACTTTTTTTTGTTTAATTTTTCGAAATAATGTCGACATAGTGACGTTTGACTCTTGAACTTGATGGCTTTTGTGAGGTTGGATCACAGTTTAAAAACACGTCAACTATTCAGTCTGTTATCTGGAAAACCTTAGAACAAGACTTGGAAAGACGTGGAAAAGCTAGAAGGGGGCAGAATGAAGAATCCGGCATCCGAAGTACTGAGCGTCTTAATTCTGCAGTTTTTCCTGGTCTTTGGAGGTAGGTTCCCTTATTGCTGCCCCCCATTTCAAGCATAAATTGATCCAAACGTTTCCAGAGGCAAGACAGCAGTTTGTTACATGTGGCTCAGTGATCAAGCTGCTGAACACCGACTACAAAGTGCGGTTGCACTCGCACGATGTGAAATACGGGACTGGCAGCGGGCAGCAATCGGTAACAGCGACTGAGCTGCAAGAGGACATCAACAGCCACTGGCTGCTGAAAGAGGCTGTAGGAAAAGTGTGCCTGCGAGGGGACCCCATAGCCTGCGACTCTACCATTAGGCATGTAAAGCCCAGGCCTTAGTTATAGTCTTATCTAATTAATGGGCCTTTCCCTGCTTAGACTGGAGCATGTGAAAACCAAGATGAACCTGCACTCACACCTGTTTAGCAGCCCCCTGAGTGGAAACCAGGAGATTAGCGCCTATGGAGACGCCAAGGGTGAAGGTGATTCTGGAGATAACTGGACGGTGATTTGCACAGGTACTGCCCCCACTAATCAAACCTCCATTCGGCTAACGCCAGACTTTTCCATTAGGGGACGCATGGAGAAGGGACGACAGCGTTATGTTAAAACACGTAGACACTCAAGTGTACCTTGGAGTATCGGGCCGAACCTTCGGCAGGCCGATTAATGGCCAAATGGAAGTGGTCGGGCTCAAATCCTCCACAGGCGCTGTCCATTGGCAGAGCATGGAAGGCGTGTATTTGCACGCCCCGGATATACAGCACGATTCCCATATACACACTGAACTTTAAGAGTGAGTTCTAAATGTTTACTGGCGATTTTTCCTTCAGTTTTACCAAAATCTGTGTAAGTGTACAAGTGCGTGAATGAATTGTGAGAATATTTTCTTGTTGCTGTTGCAAGTGCGTGGCTGAAGTAGATTATTTCTAGGATTCGAAATCCTGTTTGTCAAGAGGTTGGATACTCCAACTACGCACTGCTAGCTAAACGTTTCAAGAAAGTTTAGCTCAATTTAATATTTATTTGGTTGCGTCTTCAT